CTCCTCCATTCTCTTAGGATTTGGGGCATGCACTCACATGAACCCCAGTGTGTTTTTCAAGCTGCCGGGTCCAGGACTTGAATTGCACAGTTGGCCATGTGGGATCTAGCTGCCTTTACTACCACACCACTGGCTGGCCCTATTTACACTCATTTATACATTTAAAAAGAAGAATTATTAATTTAATTTATTATTATTATTATTATTATTATTATTATTATTATTGTTATTAATTTGCTATAGGGCATGTATGCTCACCAGAGACACAGAGGGAAAGTGAGAAAGCAAACCACTAGGTCTGAGACTTAAACTGTGGTCAGCCATGTGGGAGTCCAGCACTTAACCCATCATGTTACCTACTGGTCCCCCATTTCTACACTTTTAAAAGAAGTACTTTGAGGGGCTGGCAGGTGGTGTGGTGGTTAAGGTGGTGGTTAAGGGTTCTAGACTCCCACATGGCTGACCATGGTTTGAGTCCCAGACCTGGTGGCTTCTCTCTCATTCCCCCACCCTCCACTCTGTCTGTCTCTGGTCAAGTTAAAATAATAAAAATAATGCTTTAAATTTAAAAAATTTTAAAAAGGAAGTACTTTGATACCATTTAACACCATGACCATTACTCTCCAGAAACTACACTGGAAACAAAAAGCCTAGAGTTCGATTTTTCTGGATCTAGCTGCGTCTTACACCTGGAGCCTCTAGGGTGGCCCCCTTCACACTGTGGGCAGCTTGACCTCAGAAACAATTCCATAGGGCTGGGAACACTGATAAGGAACCCAAACGCTTGCCCACACCTGGATGCCTGGAACCTCTGCCCTTGGCTTCTCGGCAGTCTCTTCAGAAACCTGGCCACACAAAACAGTAACTGCCATGTCCAAGCTGATCTTAAATAGCCCTTTGCAATCCAGTGTGGAACCTTCCACAGGAAGTAACAGGGCCGTTGTGCAGGCCCTTCATTTAAGGAGCTACTCAGCTATTCCACCTCATTTAGTGCTCTAAGGCACTTCTCCACAACGTGGTAACAAGAAAATTCTCCTGAGGAGCCAGGCTGAGCCTGCCTGTCCTCAGATGGGTCCTCACTTCCTATAGCACAGGTGGCTAGGGAGGAAATGGGGCCACCAGCATTTGTGAGCAGCAGATATGAATGCTTCGAGCACAAATGATAGTCTCCTGAATGGTATGTTTTTAATTTGAAAATGGCTCATAGTTCTGGCTTATACTAGTTTTTTACAGAAAATCTAGTAGTGGCAGACTAGTGCAGGGGTTAAGAGGTGTGCATTGGGAGCCAGAACCCACATGGCTGAATGCAGCCCAGATCCTGGCCCTGGGCTTAAAAGACTAGGCGCTTGTTTATGCATGCCCCAAATCCTGACTAGATGGGAAAATAGACTGGAAAGGACTGTGGTATATCACACCCATGGGGAGGGGGGATTCTCTCTTTGGTGAGTACACACACCCTTTGGCAATTCAAAAAAAAAGACAGAGGGGAACCAGCAGTTAGCGTAATGGCTATGTCGCTGGACTCCCACGTAGTTGACCGCGGTTCGTGTCCCAGACCCGGTGGCTTAAAACTCACGCCGGGCACGTGCACGTGTGTGTCCAAGATCCCGAGAGGAGAAAGGAGGAGAAGGGATTGTGGCGTGACTATACTCCCTGGGGGGTGATTTCTCGCTTTCTGTTTCTATGTCTTTCTCTGTCTGGCGAGCACACATGCCCTATAGCAAAAATCTCTCCAAAAAAAAAAAAGACAGAGAAAAGAAAACGGAGCAATGGTGACTGTTCTTTAAGTATAGCCCAGTTAGAGACAGCGGATCTGAAATTGCATAACCTCTCGGCAGTGCAGGCCAAGACATCCGTATAGTGTCAGGAGTGGCTGCCCTCAAGAGCCTTCACAACTGTCACTGAGGACACGGTTAAACCCCAGGTCAACACAAGACACCACTGGAGTGATTCATCAACACCAAGGAAGTCTCCAAACCTACGCAAGTGGAATGAGCTTTCAGAACCCGCTTTCTTCACTATAAAAGATTCCTTTGACTTCTTCACCTAACAGAAAAGAGCTGAGCACATTCTGGGCTAAGTAACTTTTTACAAGTACGCAGAACAAGGAATATGGATGGGCTTCAGAGTTAGCCTTGGAGTTAGCCAGCGTGAGACCCAGCTTAGTCCCTGTTAGTTCTGTTCTTTGGAAAAGTTAGTCCCTCCCTTCATCAGTGAGTGAGTAATAATAATCCCCATGTCATCGTGTCAGGGATACACGACAACGTAGTGGATGATCAGAGACAACATGCGCACAATGCCAGTGTATGCTGGGCCTCCTCACCTCCTCACTATACTCAACAAAGAAGCGTTCCCACTGGAATTCTGCTGTCTCCCAATCTCCAGGGCCAGAGAACCCGGGACCAGGGCGAGCTATGTGGAAGGCAGCTCCCTTTCACAGCAGGGCCCACCACAGCATCCCAGGCCTTCTCTTTTTTTGTTTTTTTTATAAATTTTTTAAATAGTTATTTTATTTTTATTTATTCATTCATTTATTTTTTAATTTGACCAGAGAGAGACAGAGGTTGAGAGTGAGAGAGAAGAAGTGAGAAAGCAAGCCACCAGATTCAGGACTTGAACCCTGGTTGGCCATGTGGGAGTGTCCAGCGCCTTAATCACCACACCACCTGCTGGTCCCCAGCCTTCTCTCTTTTCAGGTGATGTCCCTGTAAGTTAAAAAAAAAAAACAAACAAAAAAAACCGAAAAAACAACAAAAAAACCCCACATTCTTTTTACTTAAGGGATATGTGTCTGTGACATTCCCACAAAGTCCCAGGAACAATGGAACTGGGTCCTACTCCAGTGACTCCCTTGTGGACCCAATCCTGGCCAAAGTCGGTGATGGTATGGGCTGATGCCACAGAGAGGGGGACCACAGCACTAGGCTTCCTGTGTATTGGAATAATCGGAAATAGTCTGGAGTAGTCCCTCCAGGCTGTGTCTGGACACACAGGCTCTTAGGAAAGGCAGCAGCACCCCAGGGCCCCGATAGTCAGGCAAACAGCACAACTCTCAGGGGCCAACCTATGGTTGTTAGCTTGCCATCCACTGCTCCCACCTGCCTCCTCTCCAGCTGGCTAGACCCTCTCCCCTCCCTTCTCTGCCCAGTGGCTCTCTCTGACTGGGACAGCTTGGCCATGGCTATTGTCTGAGGTCCTGTCCTTCCTATAGGTTCCTCTCAAACACTCCCTCTGTGATACGGAGGCCCTGGGTGTGCTCCTTTGATAGACTTTCTCAGCATAACTTCTGAGGTTCCCTGACTGCCTAGTGACCCCATCCCTACAGACTGCTCCATGCAGGGTCAACTGAGCTCCAGAGATCTTCATTTCACAGGTAGCGGAAGACCTAGGACTTTTTTCCAGGGCAGGCTCCCAGAGGTACACAGAAAAACACAAGCTAGAAAACCTTCAGGCAACAGTAAGGGACTTATGAAATAAAGACCTCATAAAACTCTAGTGTGCATGTTTCCAAAACAAGAAAAGCAAACACCCCATGAGAAGGGATACTTTCTAACACACTCATTTTGTTTTGCCTAAAAACAAAACCATCCAACATTGTTACAGCAGCCATAAAAAGACTTATTTAAGGTGTCCTTTGTCCCTACCTATTCTCATGACTACCCAAAGAACAAAGGAGACAAACCTCTCTCCAGACAACCTTAGAGGAAACCTCAGCTGCCACCATCCCATTGGCCCCTGCCTTCCAGCTCAGGGGTCAGCAAATCAGTGTAGATCAGAGCCACGCCCATTGTGAGACCAGAGACCAACTGATATGCAGAGCCTAAAAATATCTGGTACTGGGCCAGCAGGTGGCATGGTGGTTAAGGCACTAGAATTCCCAATGGCCGACAGTGGTTCGAGTCCTGGACCTGACGGCTTGCTCTGTCTCTCTCTCTCTCTCTTCCTCTGTCTTTCTCTGGCAAAACTCATGTGAAAAAATACTAAATTAATTAATTAATAAATGAACATAATTCTTTAAAAAAAATCTGGTACTTAACTAATGAAGTTTGCCAGCCCCTGATCTCGATTTCTGTTTCAGTAATACAAGACAAGACAAGTCTACTTCATTCTTTCATGTTGGCATATAACCTTATATCTATGTCAGAGAGGGTTCAAACAACGAGGCTTCAAGAGTCTGTGTCTACAGTTTGATTAGACATGTAGGGAATAGAGAGGACAGGCGTTACCACCTAGAGGGAGGTCTGCCGTACAGGTATACTTTCAGCCTTTCCATTCCTCTTGTTCCAAAAATCTTTGCTCCTTGGTGGCTGGCAGATGGCATGGTGGTTAAGGTGCTGGACTCCCACATGGCCAACCATGGTTTGAGTCCCAGACCTGGAGTCTTGCTTTCTCATTCTCCCTTTCTCTCTCTGTCTCTCTCTGGTCGAATTTAAAAGAATAACAAATAAAATAAAATAATTAATTCTTTTCAAAAAGGCTTAATCCTCATTTAAATGCAAATATACCTAGAACCAGTATCATTTTCAGTCTCATATGCTACTCAATGATGAGTTTATCGGGTCTGTCAGTTCTTTTGCCTAGGAACAAGTTCTGGGGGAGGGAATTCTGGGAAAGGGAACAACTCCTGAGGGGGAGGGGAAAGACAAAATTCAGACGGGGAGGAGTACCCAGCAGCACCTACAGACTCTGCTTTCTTTAGAATCACCTAAGAGGGTCTCTCTATTTTTTATCTTTCCAACATTTTATTTTGTGTTATGTTTTAGTTGTCTCAAGTCCTTTAGTATACAGAATAGCAGATGAGTAAATCTCAAACACGTATAGACATACACAAACACACATACATTATAGTTCCAAAGCAGTGTACATGCGGCTCCTTAACACCACCACTGGGAATGACCAAGGAAATATTTTCCCTAGATAGTGGTTGTGAGACCAACAGACGAAAATAAATAAATAAATAAATAAATGGGCGTTGTTGGGGTTAATCTTTTTCTACTTACTGGAACAAATATATTCTGCAAGTTTTTCTGCATTTCCACAGTTTTCTCCTTCTGTATTCAGGCCCATTTTATTCACTGCAAAACAAGGAAGAAATGTATTTCTATACATGGTTATCAAAGAACTTTTGTTCCTGTGTTGTTTTTTACTTAAAGTGCAAATACACAGGCATATATTTACAAATAATACAGAAGAAGTCTCCTCTTGAAAGCTTGTGTAGGAAGACCACACGTGTCCAGGACCAGCAGCTGGTGTAATGTCCCTGGATTCCCATGTAGTTGACCATGGTTTCAGTCCCGGACCCAATGGCTTAAACTCATGCATGTGCATGCGTGCCCAAGATCCCGAGAGGAGAGTGGAGGAGAAGGGATTGCGGCGTGGCCATCCCCCCTGGGGGGTGACTTCCCACTTTCTGTTGAGCATACATACCCTATAGCAAAAACCTCTCCAAAATAAAAAAGGAAGATCACAAGGGTCCACTCAGATGTGAAGGTGCCAGGTCTTGACCCCACCCTTCCTTGGCGTATGGTTTTGAGGAAGGCTTAGCCGGCTCCTCTGAACTTACTTGCCTCATCAACAAGGAGAGTATCACCCATATGGACCTGTTTTAAGGATTATGTGAAATACTGAGGGCAAACTGCTTGCCATCTACAAGGAGCTCAATACAGGCTGTCTTGTTATCAGTCAAGAAATGGGGAGCACTGGGACTTACTACTTTTGTAAGAGTCTGCATTAGAAAACCCTCATTTTGTTAGGGAAACAGACCCCCATCCAGAAAAGGGCTGTGAGCTAACATGCCCAAACTAAAATGGAAGAGAATGGAGGAAAGGTTTTATAATAATCTACCAACGGGGACCCATGGGACTATTTATGAAGGTCATTTAGAGTGGGAAGTAACACCAGCCACTTTTGTGAAGATCTTATTCATGAAGTGAACGTAGCAAGGCTGGCTGTGCTCCAAGTCAGTAAGTACAAGCATTTCAACCAACACTCAAACATAGGCAATTCCATGTTTATTCATTTTTTTAAATTTTGTCTGGGGTGCCTGCACTTACCAGAGAGAGAGAGAGAGTGTCTTCTCCCTTGCAATTGGGGGATGGCCATGCTGAAATGTCTTCCTCCATTTCTCCCTCCCCTCGAGATCTGGGCATACAAACACACATGGGACCAGTGTGCTTCTCAAGCCATCCAGGACTAGAACCATGCAGTAGGTCAGCCAATGTGGAATCCAGTCTCTTTAACCACCAGGCCACAGGCTGGCCCAGGCAAACCATTTTTAAGGGACTTCCTCAATTAATGGCTGACAGTAAAATTCCAAATGACCCAAAACTGTGTTAAATAAACCAATCTGATCAAGATAAACCTGTGTTGGACTAACTCTCACATTTGAGAGGTTAAGACATGGCCATAGTGGATTCAGTTCTCTGGGCTTGTGTAAACCTGAGGTGGGCTCCTCTGCCATCTGATGTCTATGTTGGAAACATATCACTTGATAAATCTCAAGGCAAAATAAAATCCTTAGTACAAAAGCAAATCAATAAGAATCAAGAAATGAGATTTGAAGACATTAACGAGGTTATAGATAAGATGATTTCTGTAAAGTCTTCCCAGAGTTTATGGCAATGAAAATAAAAAGATACATACTAAAAAATAATAAAACATCTCTATGTAGTAAAACACCATCTACGCAGTGGGACTTGGTGATTTTGGAATAAAGGAATGAAGGACTTAAACAACGGCTGTACCACTTTCTAAGTAACCACATCCTCTCTCCCAGGATCAGCTGTTTTATTTTGAATCAGGAAAATGGACTTACCAAGCTCTTCTATCTGAAAATGAAAAACCATATACATAAAACATATAGCATAGGGCCTGGTGTATAACAGGGATTCAAAAATACAATGTGTTATTAAGTATACTAATAACTATAGATGATAATTTGTTTAAACAGTGCAAATATATATATATCTTATCATGAAGATGTCTTATAAAGAGTGCTTCTGTGTCTTGAGTTGTTCATTGTTAAGCTATCTTCTATGGGGTCACTGGTCAGGGTTTGTAAGGCCAAGCAACAGTGGCCACTAAATGACTCTCAAGTACCAACTTGTAATCAGATAGGGTAAGCAGGTACCTCACATTGAGTGGCCAAATAGAAAGCTTTCCCCCAAGGGGACTGGCTGAGTTGCAGTATATCAGGCCATAAGCCAATCACCTCCACCTCTTTAGTACAAAATGATAAATTATCCAACCAAAATTATGTTCTCGAGAGATTTTATGCAAACCAAGTACAAAGTTATACAATTTGTACTTTCTCCCATCTAACAGTAATCTATAACATCTGCAAAATTATAAGTCAGCTTCCGATATTTATGAAGAAATACAGACATCTTTTCTCCCTCAGCTTCTGCATCAGATCCCTTATTGCTCATTGGACCCTGTTTTTAGTCTTCCTTTTCTTTTTCTTTTCTCTTTTTTATATTTCACATTTTTAAATTAAAAAAAAATATTTGCTACAGGGTGCATGTACTTGGTGGAGAAAAAGAGAGAGTCCCTCTGACCACACTGTAATCCATAAACATGGAATTGGCCATGCTTGAGTGTTTGTCCCATGCTCTGGGACAAGCCACATAGTCAGCCATGTGGGATCCAGCTGCCTTATCCAAGGATTTGTGTCCCTGTAGCATCCCCTCCAGAGTGTAGGCCAGACTTGACACAATTCAAACAAAAAGATGAGAGTAATGGTGAGATGCCACTTTTGAGATTAGATTATTAAAAAAAAAACCGGTGCCTTGTGTTGTGGGTACTCTGTTTTGCTCTCTCTTGGACTGTCATTCAATAGAGGAAGCCAGCTGCCTTCTCTTAGATAGCCTGTTAAAGAGTCCCCGTGAATGATCTGGCAAGCAAATCTTCTTAGGCCTACAACAGCCACATGAGTGGAGAGCAGACTCTTCCCAAGTCAAGTATTGATGTCTGTAGCCCTGGCCATTAACTTGATTGTAGCCTAGTGGCAGACCTGAGCCTGAGAACCCAACTAAGTCATGTGCAGATTTCAGATCTGTAAAAATGGTGCAATAATAAACACTTGTTTTGGGGTCACCAGATGGCATGGTGGTCAAGGTGTTGGATCCCACATGGTTGACTCTGTGGTTCAAGTCCTGGACCCAGAAGCTTGAAAAATACTACAGGCAAATGTGAGTACATGCCCAAAATCCAGAGAGGAGAATGGAAGAGAAGGGACTGTGTCATAGCTATCCCTCTAGAGGGTAAATTCTCACTTTCTCTCTCACTGTCTCTCTTCTGTGAGCGCACACACCTTACAGCAAAAATCTAAAAAATAAAATAAATAAACACTTGTATTTTTTTCTTGCTACTAAGTTTTAGAATAATTTGCTATGTAGAAAAGAATGACTAATACATTAAGCCTAGTCTCCTAGCTGTTGATGCTGAACTTTCTCTAACTCTCTATAGTCTCTTACTATGAATCCAGACAAATAGAAACCTCAAGGAGTTTTTTAAAAAAACACATCACTGCACATCACATTTGAAAAGGTGAAGTAAAATAGAATGGTCAAAGCTGGGTGACTGATTGTCTCTGAATGACCTTCATGTTAAGGGAAAATACAGTTTTCTGCCAAAGAGATTTTTAAAAGTTGCAAAGTTGGGCCATGGCGCCAGGTGGTGTGGAAATTAAGGTGACTAGATCCCACATAGCCAACTGTACAGTTTGAGTCCTGGACCTGGGAGATTGAAAAACAGGCTGAGTGTGTGTATATGTTTATACAAGCCCAAAATTCTGAGAGGAGAATGGAGGAGAAAGGATTGCAGCATAACCACCCACCCTGGGCAGTGTTTTCTCACTTTCCCTCTTTCTCTCTTACTCTCACTCTCTCTCTCTCTGTCTGTCTCCAATGACCACACATGCCCTATAGCAAAAAGTAAAAAACAAAAAAAAAATGTTGCAAAGTTCCTAATTTCATCTCTCCTTTAATAACACATTTCTAGCACTTAGAACATGCTCTTTCTTGAGTAAACAGTGACCAGCCCGAAACCAACAAAAGCTCTGCTGCCTGTGCTAAGCTGTTCTAAGTCTCAAGGTAGAGATTTGTCCTTTCCTTTTTCTTCTCATTTGCCAGGATAGTGAAAGCAAAATGTACAGTGATACTGTTAAAATCAAAGTGAAGGCTATGTGATAATGCCAAGTGTTTACCAGCTATGTGAAAGTCTGAATTTGGAGTATAAAAATCCAAATAGAAAAATTTACAGATATGTTGTATATTTAATATTTGATTTTTTGGCATATAAGTCAGAAATTATCTATATTATTTTCATTCTTTTTTTTATTTAGAAAAAAGAAATAGTAAAGAAAAGTACAGGTGAATGAATACTTATTTTGGGGGAGATATGTGAGAGAGCGGAGGTTGTTCTTTTAGCAACCAAGCCACTGATTCTCTCTCCCTTGCCAATTTGTTGAGCGTGTGACAAATGTTATACTCCGCCAAAGAGGTAGGCATCATCTTTTGATTAACCTAGCAACTCCCAAATGGTTTCGACCTCAATCTCATTTCATTCTTTGGAAGATATGCTTTTTGGAAAAAAACAAACAAACAAAAAACCATGTTTTTTAGGGGTTGGCAGGTGGTGTAGTGGTTAAGGGTATTGGACTCCTACATGGCAGACTGCAGTTCGAGGACTGGACCTGGAGGCTTACTTTCTCACTTTTTCTCTTTCTCTTCCCTTCTCTCTCTCCCTCTCACTTCCTCTCTGGTCAAATTGAAATAAATAAATAAGTGGATAAATAAAGTTAAATAATTCTTAAAAATTTTTTAAATTGACATAGGGTATATGTGCTTGCAAGAGAGACACAGAGAGAGAGAGCGCACCCACCAATGGGGCAGGGTCATGCCACAACATCTTTTCCTCCATTTCTTCATCCCACCAGGATTGGGGGCACACATGCACCGATGCCTGGTATGTTTTCTAGGCCTTTAACCACTAGGCTATGGGACTGGCCTTTACATTTTTTTTTTAAATTGTACTAAAAAATATAACTTTAACATACTATATATCAATACATGTTTTTGCATAGAAAAACATGTCATGACTTTTCCAATTATTCAATATATATAATAACATAATTTTAATATAAATTTTATATATTTACATATATATACTATTTATATGCTGGTCCCATGGCCTAGTGGCTAAGGAGAGATGCATTCCATATGACTAACCACAGTCTGAATTCTGGTCCCAGTAGCTTGAAAGACACATCAGGCACATGTGCATGCATACTCCAAATCCTGACAGGTGGGAGAAATGGAGAAGGGACTGCAGTGCTTTCCCTCTCTCCTCTCTATTGCCCTCTGACAAAGAAAAAAGAAAGAAAAGGAGGATGGGAAAAAAGAACCCTAACATAAAATGTACCATTTTAACTATTTCTTAAGTGCGTAATTCTATAGCATGAAGCACATTCACAATAAGATTAGTGGGCTGGAGGGTACATACTTTTTTTCTTTTTTAAAAAGAATTACTTATTTATTATCATTATTTTTCAGTTTTTACCAGAGAGAGAGAGAGAGAGCAAGTCACCAGGCCTGGGACTCGAACCGCCATTGACCGCATGGGAGTCCAGTGTCTGTAACCACCATGCCACCTGCCAGCCCAGGCACATACATTTTAATAAAGCTTTCGAAGACATACACACCAAATATTCCTCGAAAGAGGTTAACTGATTTTTAGTGGCATCTAGCAATATTTGAATATATTTGTTTTACTGCATCATTTTATCAGCAACATTATATATTTAACTAATTAGTTACTTTTTGTAAATTTCATGAGCAAAAAATAACATATTTAAACTGAATTGGAGGGTTTTTTTTTAATGAAAAAGGTTGAGGAATTTTTTTGGTGCTTTATTTTTATCTAGATCCCTTACCTAGAGAAGCAGTAGCATTTCCAACCACGTACACTGGCTTAGCATTCCATTTTCCTTTCAGACACTTTTCCCAGACTGTAAAACATGAAATTATACATGAGTTGCAAATACCAAACCAGTCATTTGCACTGCTGCCCGAGGTTGCTTGTTCATCATAAGAAACTTGTAAGCAAAGCAATCTATTAATAACCAAATGTAAAGAATAGCATCTCAAACTGAAATTTTATTTTCATATTGCTTATGTTCTGTAGGTGAATATTTAAAAATCACTTTGGTAAATGTTCCAGTAAGCCATACTTGAAATATTAACTCATTTTCACAGGTGGCATAAAAAGCATTTTTAATATGTATCATAAAACAAACATAACTCGAATTAATTTATGTAGTGAAATTAAATTTAAAATATCTAGACTTTTAAAGACAAAGTCACTGGTCATTTAAACAAAATAATTTAAATGTTTAATAAAGCAATACGACTGGTCTTATTTGGGATACAAATATAAAAACAGTCAATGGATTGTAATCTCAGATGAGAGAGCTCATTTATCCACTAGGTCAAAGTAGAAGTAATAAATTTCAGTACCAGCAGTTGGCGTAATGGCTATGTTGCTGGACTCCCATGTAATCGACTGCGGTTTGAGTCCCAGACCCGGTGGCTTAAACTCATGCTGGGCAGGTGTGCATGCATGCCCAAGATCCCAAGAGGAGAATGGAGCAGGAGGGATTGAGGTATGGCCATCCCCTCTGGGGAGTGATTTCTCACTTTCAGTCTCTCTGTCTCTCTCTCCGTTTTTCTGGTGAGCACATGCACCCTATAGCAAAAATCTCTCCAAAAAGAAGAAATAATAAATTTCAATTTCATTAACAAACACAATTTAACACAGAATATTATCATTTTACAACAAAGAAAAATCTTTAAGTATGTATTAACAAATACAAAGAGAAAACAGATTGCAATTAAAATATATCACAAGCCCAATGAACATTCAATATATTTTTAAAAGACAAGAAAATAATCGTTCTCCTTCCTGAAATCTGATTATGAGCATGACTTTCTCCTAAATTCAACAGTATTATTCTACCCTCCATACTTCCAAGGGAAATTCCCTTTTAAACAATAACCAAGGGGCCAGCAAGTAGTGTGGCAGTTGAAGCACTGGACTCCCACATAGTTGGATCCTACAGGGCCAACTGTGATTTGAATCCTTGCCCTGATCACTTGAAAAACATGCCAGGCATGTGTGTATGTGCATGCCCAAATCCTGAGGGGAAGTAGAAATGCAAGAAAAAGATTGTGGCATGATCATACCCCACTGGGGAGTGCTTTCTCTCTCTTTCTCCCTCTTTCTTTCTCTGTAGTGAGTACATGTTCCCTCTTGTGATTAAAAAAAAAAAAAGTAATATTCCCATGATGTGGGTCTTATTATGACCACTTTAAAGGTAGGGAAACTGAGAATCAGAGATGTTAAGGAACTCACCGAGGTCAGAACAGCTGTTTGAATCCAGGCCTGCCTCACTTGGCAGTAGTCACTCTCCCTGCCTCCACTTGGTATAACTGTGGAGCTGGTCAGCCGGGGTTTCAAACCCAGCTCTGAACTGACTAATTCTGTGGCCTGCACAACTGCTTTCTTGCCAATCCTCAGTTTTCTCATCTGCAAAATGAGAGCAAGGTACTGTACGCCCCTGGATTTTTGTCTGGAGTTAATGACATAAGGAATGTGAAGTATTTAACTCAGAGGCTAGTAATCACTAGGCACTCTATAGGGAACCAGCAGTTAGCGTAATGGCTATGTCGCTGGACTCCCATGTAGTCGACCACGGTTTGTGTCCCGGACCCGGTGGCTTAAAACTCACACCGGGAACGTGTGCGTGCGTGCCCAAGATCCTGAGAGGAGAATGGAGGAGAAGGGATTGCGGCATGACCATCCCCCCTGGGGGGTGATTTCTCGCTTTCTGTCTCTATGTCTCTCTCTGTCAGGCGAACGCACGAGCACTATAGAGAAAACCTCTCCCCCCCCCAAAAAAAAATAGGCACTCTATAAATGTTAGGGTGAAAGCTAGTATCACACTTATTAAGAAGGTAGTTGTGCAGTCTGAAATCAGAGAGTCTATCAATAGGCAGTGCCATTTGCAGTGCCACTGTTTTCATGCGAAGGAAGGAGATAGGAAGAGGGTCAAAGAGATGCCTGCATTGCTAAGTACCTGGGATGGCACTGACCGTTTTGTTATACGTTGTTCATTTTCTCATCTCACCACTTTGAGGAAAGTGGTATTTATACCCCCAAAGAAATGAGTGCCTGATATATTCTATGGGGAGACAGAAATGTCCAGCAGGTGGACATTTAAAAGACAGCAGACAGACTTCCCCTTAGTCGTTATCTGTCTGGGAATTTAGGAGGTAGCCTTGTTTCCTATTTCCCCAGGAAGAATCTGTGACCTGGCACTACTAAGCACCCTCTTCTGTCAGGAGTACAACTATTTTTGGAACCTACTGGATTGTCAGAAAAGTCATGATGTATTTTTGCATAGAGAAACATAGAAAATACATCGTGACTTTCCCAACGACCCAATAGGATCCCAATGGGAGAAGTAAGAATAAATAAAAGTCCAGTGGAATTCACAGCAAATCCATCCTTACCTTCAGTTTTATTGTGCTTTTCCAAACACAACTCCATGGCTTCCACTGCTCTGGGGCTGGTAAAAATGAGTCCCCCATAACATTCAGGATGAGACAGCTGCACACCAAAAAGCAACAGAGGCATTTTAGTTGATGACTAAGTTCAATGTCTCCTGTGGAGCTCTGACTCAGAATCCAAACGCTTCACAAAGCAGTAAGAAAACCAACCCTTTCCTTCCAGCTCTCCACCATTTGCCCATCTACCCAACATGAGTGCTTACTCTGTAACTGAAACTATTCTAAGTCTTTTAGGATATACAGGTAGATTCAATATTTATAGCACTTCCCTCAAGAAATTCACAGTTCAGGGGAGAGACAGACAGGAGCAACATGGGAAGTATAATTGTAGCAGAAAGGGGGAGCCTGACTCAGCCTGGGGCTGGGGTGGGGTGCAGGTAGGAGGGGAGATTTGACCTGTATCAGTAATAAAACTAGAACACTCAGGAGGTGATATACACACTGAAGTCCTGATTTTCAAAGGTAATAATGATGACATAATCTACTGAACATTTATTCAGCCAGCCACTGGGCTGTTTTATACATCTGACTTCACTGAAGTGGTGAAGGCACCCCGTGAGAGGGGTGGGATTATTTTCATGAACAGATAAAAGATCTGAGGCTCAGAGAAGCTAAGAAACTAGTCCGAGGTGAGTGGCGGACCCAGAACTCAGGCACATGCCTCGATGCTTCCTTCCCAAGTCCCTCCTGCATTCACTGTGTAAGTTGAGCTTTCCACAGTCTGGGAAACCCACCATGGAGCATGCCAGCTCCGGTGGAGGTGCCAGTATTCTTATCACCTCTGTGACCTACAAATAAGCTCAAATATGACTGCCTTTGTTTCATTTTAAAGCTGGTTATGGGAGAAGATCCCACCAACTTGGGCCCTTCTGATGGCTTTGTTAGCATGCAAATCCAGTGCACAAGATCATAACAGATACTAAATCAATGTTTAAGAAATTACAGAATGAATAATCCAATATTCAGTCTAACCCAGAAGGAGAAAACAGAAAGGCTTTCTATAAAGCGCTGGGTAGGATTTTGATGTGCAGAGCACAAGTGGTGAATTCCTGGTGTCGATGGAGGCTGCAAGGCCCAGTAAGTAGAGCTGGCACACCAGTCTCAAGAAGCCACCGCTGGGCCTCTCAGCCATGTGTACAGGAGGAAGCTCCAGGAAAGATGCTCGGAAGGGGTTCCACTCACTGGTGGTGACTGGGTGCACACTGATGGAAGTTGTCTGGGTACTGAATCTTTCATCTGAAACATCTGGAGGACTTCACTGGGCTTGCTTCCTACAATACCTGTCAGCCCTGTACCTAGCAACAGAACTGAAATTGTAGGCAGAAGTCTTGGCTTTGAGTCCCAGCCCTGACTCTTTATTTGTTGAAGCCTCAGCTAAATTGCCTAAACCACAGCCTGAATCTCTAACCCTAAACCTAACCTTAACCTCATACTTGCCTGGCCTACTTTGCAAGGGTTGAAGCAAGGGTTGGATTAAGTAAGAGGATGAACGTGAAAGAGTTCTGGGAGAAATTCAGGTCTAGTGCTCTCCTGGGCTCCGATCTCTGCGTCTGGGTGGCTTTCTCAAGAAGCTGGTAGAGGCTCAGTGTGAGGATCACCACAGTAGCAGTCTCTTAGAGCCAGGCAAGGTCTGCAGCCCTCGTTTGAAAGTCGGATAGTAAAATGAGGGAGTACTAGAACAGCGCCTCTGGCTCAGACTGGCAAGAATTCTACAGAAATCAAACACTAACATGGTGTTCAGACAGGACAGTACTTACCTTCTCAGAGAAACTGGGAAGAGACAAAAACTCAAATGATAAAACAGGGATTAAAGTGGCTTCAAGTCCATATAATCCTAATTCCTGCAAATGAAAGAATATTAGTTCTGGATTGGCTAGAGCTGTTTTGAAAATAGGGAAAGGGCTGCAGTATCACATTAACAATGGATTCTGTGTCAATTCCTCGAGTTTTTGCAGACCCTCCCTTGCTAGCTCCACCCCTCTGACTTCCTTAGTAAGAAAGCTCTATGCTTTATGGGACCGAAGCCTTAGGCCACTTACCCTGATATACGGATCCTGGCCACAGTCATCCCCCTTAGCATCTTTCAGTAAAAGAACCTTCATTATGGTCTGGCAGTCCTTAAAGAGCACTGTGACAGAGCAAGGAAACAGATCTTAATTAGATCTCAAAGGCTCTTCTTAAGCAATGCTGGATGGGGGTGAGCACAAGGCGAAGGTAATCAACTGTCTGCTGAAGAGACCTATCTCTTCCACACAATGACTTAGCACTAATGGGCTTGTTCTTCTGAGGACCCCTGTCACTGATAAGGCCAACAGAACATGTTAGCAGTTGATAGCACTTGGGAAGGCAGATGAAAAGCCATTAATGAAAGTCAAGTGTCCTATGCCAAACATTTACGGCTAGGAGAAGAGAAGTGGTGCAAATTCTGGGTTGTATCAATGACAAATAGAGAAATGGATAGCTTATATTTTAAGGAAATAAATAGTTATTTCCATTTCAGGACAAATACACTAAGTAGCTCATAAGCATTTCAGGAAATAATTATATCAACTCTTCTACTTCTCAAGCGATATTTTATAAATGTTGACAAGTATCACGAGATAATCTTCCAAAAATTTCAGACAATTTGGAAAACAGTTTGTTAGTATGTAGCAAAAGCATTATAGGGCCAGCCCTGTTGCATAGTGGTTTTAAGTACTGTGCATTGGGAGCTGGATCCCATATGGCCAATGACAGTGTATATCTCAGCCTGGGTGGCTTGAAAAAACATGTCACGTATATGTGCATGTATGCCCAAAATTGTGATGGGATGAAGAAATGGATGAAAAGGATTTTGGCAGGATCACAATCTAATGGGGAGTGCTTTCTCTCACTCTCTCACTGGTGAGAGCACATGCACTCTGGCAATTAAAAAAAGAAAAAAGTTTTATACACTTTATCCTTCTGTCATTTCACTTCTAACAATAGATACTAAGGCCATGCTCATTAATGTGCACAAAGATTAACGTAAAAATATTCATCTTGGCTTGTGTATGTTTGTGTGTGTGTGCGTTAGAGGGCATGTGTGCTTGTCAAAGACCAAGAGACAGAATGGGAGACGAGAAAGCATCTCCCTTGAGGGATGGTCACGCCGTGATCCTTCTCCTCAATCTCTCCCTCCTTTCAGGAGTTTGGATGTGCATGTATATGTTGTTTCTCAAGCTGCTAGGTCTGGGACTCCAACCGCAGGTGGCCATGTGGTATCCGGTTGCATTAACCACCAGCCATAGAGCTAGACCCATCCTGGCATTCTTTCTAATTGCAAATAACTGAAAACAATGTAAATATCCAGCAATGAGAGAAGGGTTAAAAGAATTGATTAAAATATAGTTATATGAAATGAATAACATACAAATAACTACACAGATTATTTCATCACAAAATGTTAAGTAAAAAGTAGGATTCATAATTGGATGGAAAATATGATTTTATAGGTTATATATGTATAAACACACATGAAATAATGTGCACAAAAACATTCATGGTAATAGTAATTAGTTCTAAGGTAGGTTAGAATGATTTTCTTCTTTACTTCTTTATTATTCAAACACTGTTTTTATAAATAGACATTAGTTACTTCTTACATTGGGGGAGGAAGAAAGCACATTATACATCCCAAAGGCCTCAATATAAATGCTGCTGAAGAACTGCTAAATAAATCTGCCTGAAATATGGATTACCGTCTCATGTATAGCAGTAGACCCACCCATTATTTACTTACTAAATATTATATGGTAGTTGGTAACAGTCAACAGAGATTATTGTTTCATGTAGAAATGTATTAACTCTGGGAGCCATTACTTATGAGTTACTACTGAACACATTTCTGGAATATTACAAATGTATGAGACATTTTAGGAAAATCTGGCTCAAAATGATCGCTTTGTATTAAGTAACCAAATCAGAGCGAACCAGTCACACATATGAAATCATTTCTACTTATTGCTGCTGTCAAGGTATTAGCTAGAGAGATCTGGGGTATGGAGAAACGGATAGGGTGGCTGCTGTCTATTCCTGAAGTTATTCAAAATGTACCTCACACAGAAATTAGAAGACAACTTTCTGCAATGGCCAGTTTTGTGTCAACTTGGTGAAAGCGTAGTCTCTAGTTATTTACAAACCCTAATCTAGGTGTTACTGTGAAGGCATTTGAGAGAGATGATAAAGTTCATCATCATCTGACTTTAAGAAAGGGAGACTGGGGCCAGCAGGTGGCATGGTAGTTAAGGCACTGGACTCCCACACGGATGACAGCGGCCCATGTCTCAGATCTGGCGGCTTGCTTTCTCACTTTCCCTCTCTCTCTGTCTCTCTCTAGTGAGTGCATGTGCCCTATCACAAATTAAAATAATAATAATAATTTGAATCAGGTTGGGTCTGATTCAGTAATTCCAAAAAGGGCCTTGGTGAGAGAGCGATCTGAGGCTTCCCAGAGGAAGAAATTCCACCTGTAGACACGGCTTTAGCTTGTGACAACTTTCAGCCTGCCTGACCTGTTGCCTGTCTTCCTCTTAGGCTTGCACTATGGATTCAGACTTGCCTTGCCAGCATTGACCGTTCCCAAGCCAATTCTTTTGCATTAAGTCTCCTAATACATATCTTCTACTAGTTCTGCTTCTATAGTTTAACTGTGATTGATAAACCTTTCAATTTAGGGGCTCCAAGAATCTGGTAAGTTGCTGAGTGGTAAGTAAAACTCGGCATTTTGTGCTAAAGTCAAATCCTTTTGCCACACACAAAGAAGTAACTGGGGTAGGGATTAAAAAGCTGAAGAAAAATGTCACTGGAAGCAAGCAGGCAATCCTGTGGCCAGAGCTCTACACAGCTCCTAGCATGTCTCCACCATGATTCTAGGCTCTGGGACACAGATTGTCACATTTTCAAAGAATATTTTAGTGGGCCCAGCACTAAATGTGGTGGTTAAGACACTGGACTCCCACATAGCCAACCATAACTTGAGTCCTGGACCTGGCAGCTTGCCTTCTCACTTTCTCACTCTCTCTCTCTCACGAGCACATGTGCCCCATAGCAAATTAAAAAATAATAATTTTTAAAAATGAAATTTAATAAATAATTCCTTAAAACAAAACAACTTTATTAATAGATTTCTACATTGTTCTTAGGCAGTGATGCTGAATCCCGGAACCAGGAATCTCCCTTACAGAAATTAGGTCTGTATTACTTATTGGGGTGAGGGGGAACTTCAGGCACTAATAAATGCTATGAGGTGATGTACAGATAGTGATTTGTTTTGTTTTTAAATAATTATTTTACTTAACTTTATTTATTTATTTATTTGAATTTCACCAGAGAGGGATGGAGTTATTTAGAAAGTGAAAAAGCAAGCTGCCAGGTCCAGGACTCGAACCATGGGCGGCCATGTTGGAATCCGACCCCCTTAACCACCAAACCACCTGCCAGCCCTGGTAGACAGTGATTTGAATACCAAGAGTTAGTTACTTCTCCAGGGAGACTTCTCTGAGGAAGTGACATTTTAATTGAGTCATAAATTAACAACAGCAGCGGGACCAGCAGTTGGCGTAATGGCTATGTCGTTGTACTCACGTGTAGTGGACCGTGGTTCGAGTGTGGCTTAAACTCACGCCTGCGCATGTGCGTCCATGCCCAAGATCCTGAGAGGAGAATGGAGGAGAAGGGATTGAGGCGTGGCCATCCCCCCTGGGGAGTGATTTCTCGCTTTCTGTCTCTCTGTCTCTGTCTTTCTGGTGAGCACACATGCCCTACAGCAAAAACCTCTCCAAAAAAAAAAAAAAAAAAATTACAACAGCAGCAAGCAGAAACGTTTGAGAATCAGAAAGGGCCCTGCAGTGTCCTCAGAAGAGAAGCGTAAATATGGACCAAGTGGAATAGGTAAGGTGGACTTTGGATCTCATGGGGAGGAAAAAGCAAAATCCACTGAAGATACAGGGTAGGAGTAGAAGAGACAGTGATGGGATCCACATGTTAAAGAAAGACCACCTGCTGGGACCAGCAGATGGCATAATGGTTACATCACTGGACTCTGACGTAGTTGACTGCAGTTCACATCCTGGGCTTGGCAGCTTAAAACTTGTGCTGGGCACATGTGTATGCATGCCCAAAACCCTGAGAGGAGAATGGAGAAGGGATTGTGGTGAGGTCATCCCCCCTGGGTGATGATTTCTTGCTTTCTGTCTCTCTGTCTCTCTCTGGCAAATGCATGTGCCCTATAGCAAAAATCTCTCTAAAAGAGAGAAAGAAAGAGAGAAAGAAAGAGAGAAAGAAAGAGAGAAAGAAAGAAAGAAAGAAAGAAAGAAAGAAAGAAAGAAAGAAAGAAAGGGAAAGAAAGAAAGACCTCCTGCTTTTATGGCAAGGATGGACAGGGCTTGGATTAGAGTTGTAGTGGTGGCAATGGTTTTAGCAGTGGTGAGGTTAAGTGGCTATTTCAGGGATTCAAATCAAGGACAGAGGTATCAGGACTTATTGATGCACATTTGAGTGAAGCTATCTGTCCACAGCCTTGTTTGAAATAATTGGGGTCAGGCTGAAAATAATTGTGTTTCATCTTTGGATCACACTTAAACTAAACTACCCAGTTTAATCTTACCAATAAATCAACATTTACAGAACAGTAACTCAGTATCAGACAGCAGGCCTGACCACAATATGATCCCTGTGTCATGATATTTATAGGAAGGTAAAACACATATTTTAGAAATAAGTAAACAAGGATATAGTCATACTGCATTAACTCCCATGAAAGAAGATTCAAGATGCTGTGGAAACTAACGGCCAACTCTTATTTGGACTGAGAGGTGTGGCGCAAATTGCCACTTGTCCCCAAATAGCCACTTTTCCCTCCTCCTTTATAGAAATGGAACCCTCACTATTAACTGCGCACACTTATTACCTAAAATAAAATTGTGTAGCTGGATGTTGTGGTGACTAGGCTCTGGCTTACAGGCTTCACGATGCAGCAACATGTATAACTGGTGGGTTTTGTCCTAAAAAATAAGTGGTGGTCCTTTCCCTCTCTTTTTCTGCCTTTTCTGATCGTAGGAATGTGGATGGGGAGTCCAGACCCTTTGGACTTGTAGAGGAAGACCTAGA